TTCTCCCAGATTAGAGTCCGCACTACACTAAACTGGCTCTACAAAATGTTCTAAAGAAGTAAATCCACTCATTGCATTTCACACAGGGGGCTCTAGCCCACAAAATTTTTTGTTAAGAGTAAAATTTTTATTAATCTTTAATGTGCTGTGAGAGTCTTGATTATTTTTCTTGCAACCGGCTACTGTGGCTTACCCTTTGAATTAATAAACTCCATGACACCTTTTGGGGGATACTGTGTCTCTTTTAAAAATGCAAAATAACTCATTATGAGGAGAGAGATATAAAGATATCCCATTCTCACATTGGACTGTGTATCCTTGGGGAGGTCAGATGAGCAGCCTCCTGACTGGCTAACCTGAACCAGTCAGGGAAGTTGTAACAGATGCCAAAGGTTCCAGGCTAGCCAATCAGGAAGCCTATTTTTCTAGCCCTGGGCCTAGGCAGTCCTTTGTTATGGAGGGAGTTTTCTAATTATTTATCTTCTCCCCTCCCCTTTGCATTTTTCTTGTGGATCTGCAGCTTTTATGTTCTTTCTGAATTTTAAGTATTTTGGGGCTGTGATTATACACATCCTCACGAGCTGGGATTCTCTTCATCCTAGCGGGGGAAAGTCCAGAGAGGGATGTCAAGGTGGAGGAAGAGAAACAGCAGCTGGAGAAACCTGTTCTAGTAGAACTGCATGGGTCATCATCACCAATGCTCCCTCTAAGCTATGAAGTCTTGTGAGCAAAAATTCTACTTTGTGAGATAGTCGCATAAAGTTGTGAGTGAGCAATTTGGCCACTGTATAAATTCGTTTGCTCTGGAGCCATCCTTCCTGAGCTAAGACAAAAATACGTGAGCCGGAGGCTAAAAAACTGTGAGCTAGCTCACACTAACTCAGCTTAGAGGGAACACTGGTCATCACTGAGTGTGAAGGATGAGAATGTTTCTCAGTTCTGTGGGAAGGAAACCTGTCTGGAGGAAATGGCGAGGGTGCCCTCTCCTGGTGCTAGAGCTGAACCCACAGGCTGTGAAACAACAGTGCAAATGCAAATCCACAAAGGCAAGAAGGAGTGGGCTCGCGCCATGTAAGGGAAAAGCTTCAGTGGGAGTTTAGGCCTGATTGCCCATGAGAGAACTCACATGGGAGAGATGCCGTACGAGTGTGCCGATTGTGGGGAAAGCTTTGGCATGAGGTCAACCCTCCTGGCCCATGAGAGGATCCACACAGGAGAGAAACCCTGAGGAATTTCACATTACCCTTTTTAACCCATTTTGAAGCCATTTTTGATCCGTCATGGAGTAAACCGGTATAGGGCTGTCATTTCACACATGGCTTCCCCCTTCCGGTAAAGAGCTGGATCTGAAGCGGTTTGCCATTTCAGACTGCACCGCTTTTCCCCACTTTTTCCCCGCCGTTTTTTGCCCGTGCAGGCGATCTCCAGCTTAAAAAAAAAACATTTGCTTTAGAGTGCTATAGCGCTATAGCACTATAACAAAACACTCCAGGCATTTCAATATAACGCTATAAAGCGAACATTCCAAAAAAAACAACAAAAAAACCAGAGATCGCCCGCACAGGCGAAAAACGGCGGGAAAAAGTGCATCAGAACCAGGAGAGGAAACTGAAGACTACTTGACAGGTAAAACACTTCAGCCCCGTTTCCTAAATGGGACAGAAGCATTTGTGTCTGAAATTACAAATATATTCCGGTAGGGAACCGGTTCTAAAACGGTTCTGTCTGAAATGACAGACCAGAAACTGTTTGGGAACCGTTCCTCTTCCGGATTATATCGTCTGTCTGAAATTCCTCCCTATGTGTCCTCCCCATGCGGGAAGGCTTTTGTTGTGAGTTCCCACCTTGTTAAGCATCAAGACTCACTCAGGTGAGAAACCATACCAGTGCCTGGAGTGCGGGAAGAGTTTCTACCAGAGCTCCCGCCTTCAGAATCATGAGAGAATTCACACTGGGCAAAAGCCATTCACATGCTCAGACTGCAGTAAAGGGTTTAGCGTGAGCTCCGACCTTATTACGCACCAGAGAGCCCACACGGGGAAGAAGCCATTTAAATGCTATGATTGTGGGGAAACCTTTGGTTGGAGCTCACAGCTGATTAGCCGCCAACGGACCCAGAAAGGGGAGAAGCCCTACACAAGTCATGAGTGCAGGAAAAGCTTTAGTGTGAGCTCAGTTCTCACCAGGCACCGGTGAATCCATACAGGAGAACAACCATACAAGTGTTTAGACTGTGGGGAAAGTTTTGAGGTGAGCTCAGACTTCATGGTGCACAAAAGGACCCACACTGAAGAGAAGCCATATTAGTATTCCAAGTGTGGGAAAAGCTTCATTCAGAAGTCTCATCTCAATACACACCAGAGGATCCACACGGGTGAGAGACTATATCAGTGCATGGCGTGCAGCATAAGCTTCAGCGTGAGGTCTCTCCTTAGTCGGCAACTGAGAATCCACACTGGGGAGAAGCCGTATAAGTGTCTGGCCTTCGGGAAAGGGTTCAGTGTGTCAGCTCGGACCTCATGGTGCATGAGAGATCCCATACAAGAGAGAAGCCATATAAATGTTCTGAATGTGGGAAGAGGTGCAGTCAGAAGTCTCATTTTAATAGCCACGTGAGGGCACACAGAGGAACAAACCGCATTAACGCTTGGGCTGTGGTTTGAAAGTTTACATCTCTGAAGGAATCGGGGGGCAGGAATTGGGGACTCCTGTTGTCTTTGCATTCTGGATGCCAGCTTCCTTTCCTGGATTTCAGTTGAGGATGAAGGCTGACTTTGATCCAGCAAGGCCCTGTCTGTTCATTGACACAAAGTGCTTGTGCACACATGCGGGAGAATGAGGTGATGGAATTTGGAGGTGGCCCAGGACATCATGGTCTCCCTATTTCCTCACCCCTGAGCTTCCCTTTGGTTGCTGCCAGCCGTGGCCTGGCAACCACATCCTCACAGTTCATAGCACCGGGCCTACTGTATGGCTGCTCCTCTTGCTTGGCTTCTCTCATGGTCCATGTGGGTTCTCTGATGAGTCCTCAGAGATGAGAACATGAAGAAAGTCCTCCCACAGTCCGAGCACAAGTATTGCTTACGGCTCGCTTGGATGTGCTCAGATTTGACAAGGTCTGATGACTGCCGGAAGCTTCTTCCATCGACTGTGGGCAGTTTCTGCCCTGGGTGAATTCTGTGTTGTATGACGGTTTTGAAGACTGGTTTGGGGCCCTGAGAAGGAACTGGCCCTCGTATTCCTGCCCTGGAGCATATTCCCTTCTGTTCCGGCCAGTGTGTACGCTGTGATTCCCCTCTATGACTCTGGAAATGCATCACGTTTACTCTTCCCTCGGAGACGTCACTGGCAGCCATGTGGTCAGATCCTTCCAGACCGAATTTCTCTTCCTCGTTCGCACTTTTGAACCGTTTGCCTGCTAAGAGACAAAAAGAGCCATGGGTTACCTGCCAGTGAGTGGTGAAGCCAGAGCCGGTGTCAGTGGTCAGCATCCTTGGGTTGCTAAATCCCATTGGCAACGGATGGAGGCGGGGGGAGGACTTACCAGCAGTGTTCCCTCTAAGCTGAGTTAGTGTGAGCTAGCTCATGAGTTTTTAGCCTCCGGCTCATGCGTTTTTGTCTTGGCTCAGGAAGGATGGCTCCAGAGCAAACTAGCTTATGCAGTAGCCAAATTGATCACTCACAGGGGTTGTTTTGTAGAAAAAGAGCTAGGGGAACTCATTAGCATAACTCATTAGCAAGGCCAGCGGGAGTGCGAGGAAGCCCCGCCAAGGCCCTCCCTGACCCCAGGCAGGCAGGGGTGGGGAGAGGCGGGGAGGAAGCAACTTACCCTCCCTCTTCTCCTGCCTCCTCCTGGCTGAATGAGGGCGAGGCCCCTCCCCCTCCTCAGACTCTGCCTTCCCCAGGCTCCACCCCCCAGCCTCCAGGAATTTCCAGACGCAGAGTTGGCAGCCCCACTGACCTCACAGGGTCATCGTAAGGATCAAATGGTGGAGGAGAGAGCTACATAAGAGGTCCTGAACTCCTGAAAGGGCCGGCTACAAGGTGATAAGGCAGCTGAACTGTGGACGAGGTCAATCCTTACCCAGGCAACTTCTGCCTCCTGCGTCACCCTCCTGTTGTGCCTCCCTGTTGACTGGCATTTGCCAGCAGTCCGAGGGAGCCCATGCGGCTTTGGAGGTGTCCCGCGCTGCCTCGTCCCTCGGCTCCAGCCCCTGAAATGGAAATGAAGATCCTGTTCGGGTCAGGCCAGAAAGTTAGCACAACGAGTGTCTTGCGACCTCCCCCCATCACCACCCCATGTCCCGTCACGGGGCCGGGTTGCTGACCTCCAGGTGGGCAAAACAAAGGAAATAATCTGAGCTCATTCATCAGAAACTCCAGCAATATATGGAACACAATCTCCCTCCCCCAGTGGGCAAGACCTGCAAGATGCTTTGCACTTTGACGTGAGATTGGCAGCATCTTTGCGCAAGGAAACAACACGTTGGTGAAATTTTCCCCTCTGGAGCAGAAAAGAGGTCCATCTTTGTGAAGAAGCCTTTGGCAAAACGTGACTGGTTATCAATTAGCTTATGTGCCAAGAAGACTATCGGAGGAACCTCATCCGCCAGGCTCCAGTGAATCCTTGAACTCCTGTGGGACTATTAAAACTCGGAGATTGTGTTCCATATTATTGGGGTTTCTGGTGTATGAGTTGATAAATGTATCTATGTCCTGTGGTATGTAAAGAAGAAGAAGAAGAGATTGGGTTTATACCCTGCCCTTCACTACCCAAAGGTGTCTCAGAGCGGCCTACAAACTCCTTTCCCTCCCCATCCCCACAACAGACACCCTGTGAGGTAGGTGGGGCTGAGAGAGGTCTTCACAGAGACTGCTCTTTTTCAAGGACAGCTCTTATCAGAGCTACAGCTTGCCCAAGGTCATCCAGCCAGGTGCAAGTGGAGGTGTGGGGAATCAAACCCGGTTCTCCCAGATTAGAGCCCGCGCACTTAACCACTACACCAAAACAAGCCTTGTCATATTTAATGTCATTGTATTACACTGAACATAAGAACATAAGAGACACCAATGTTGGATCAGGCCAAAGGCCCATCTAGTCCAACACTCTGTGTCACACAGTAGCCAAAAATACCAGGTGCCATCAGGAGGTCCACCAGTGGGGCCAGGACATTAGAAGCCCTCCCAATGTTGGCCCCCCCAGCACCAAGAAGACAGAGCATCACTTGCCCCAGAGCCCCGATCTATACCTTGCCAGAGCCCCTATCTATATTGGACTGTGTCCTCTTTATTATATCCTTATTACGTTTTGATACAATTGTTTAACACTTGTGGTTGTTTATTGCTGAGCAAAGGTTATTTCATGTTTTGCATACTTCTTCTGTGCTGCTCTTTGGTTTGGTTTTTAACCTCTACTTGGGGGCTGGAGGTTTCATAGAATCACAGCTGATCTCCAGACGACTGTGGACCGGTTTTTCTGCAGGAAAACAGCTGCTTCGGAGGGCGGACACTACGGAGTTATTCCCCACCGAGGTCCCTTCCCGCTCCGAACTTCACTTCCCTCAGCCTCTGCCCCCAGATCTCCAGGAATTCCCTAACCTGGATTTGACAACAGGGGCAGAAACTGGGAGCAGGGCTTCTCCCTGCCGCAGCGGGCAAAACCTGGGAGATGCAAGGGCAGAGGTGAGGGAATGTCCCCCCCGCGTGAGTCCTCGTGGGTGCTCCTCTTACGATTTAGAATGTTAACAGAATATGCTTCTCTGCTTTTATTTGGGTGACCTTAGACCCTTCTAAGGGCATAAAAGGGTAAAGGTAAAGGTTCCCTTGCTCGAAAACCAGTCGAATCCGACTCTAGGGTTGTGGTGCTCATCTCCGTTTCAAAGCCGAAGAGCCAGCACTGTCCGAAGACGTTTCCGTGGTCACGTGGCCGGCCTGACTAAACACCAAGGCACACGGAACACTGTTACCTTCCCACTGAAGTGGTCCCTATTTATCTACTTGCAATTTCTTGCTTTCGAACTGCTAGGTTGGCAGGAGCTGGAACTAGAGATGGGAGCTCACTCCGTCATGCGGCACACTCGGGTCTCGAACTGCTGAACTACCGACCTTCCACAGCTTGCAGTTCAGCGTCTTAACCACTTGAGCCACCGCAGCTCCAAGGGCATACATTTTAATTTGTTCTACAGTTTTGTCCTGCTCACCAGTCAAAGCAGACTCTTAGAGCTGCCAAGAATCATAGAATCACAGAGTTGGAAGGTGCCATAGAGGCCATCTAGTCCACCCGCCTGCTCAATGCAGGATCAGCCTACAGTACCCCTACAGCCTACAGTAAGCACAGTGGGAATCCTATGTCGCTCTCACTTGCTCTTCTGGTCCTTCTGCTGCTTGCTTTTCCAGCAGGAACTCCTCCGCCAGGGTGGCCGCCTGGGAGCAGGTCTCTGGGCCATGTTGCTTCACCCAGTTCAACATCTCCGGGGGCAGGATGGCCAGGAACTGCTCCAGGATCACCAGCTCCAGGATCTGCTCCTTGGTGCGTCTTTCGGGCTGCAGCCACCGATGGCAAAGTTCCCGGAGCTGGCAGCAAACACTGAGGGGGCCCTCGGCCTCCAGGTAGAGGAACTGCCTGAAGCACTGGCGCTGTACTTCTGTGCCAAGGGCCTCCTGGCCTTCCGTTTTTTCCTTCACTTGCCCAAAGTCTCCACATTCAAGCCTGTTATGGGCTCGCCCGTGAGGTTCACAAGGATCTGGTAGGTCCCGGGAGACGTGCTCTCCCACAGTGTGGCAGAGGGTGACTGGCTGTCCTTGAAGCAGAGGTGGAACAGGCCGAACTTCACCTGAAGAGACACATTCACCCCTCAACTGTGGATTCTTCCAGCTTGACTGAGAGCCCTCCATTGTCTTCAGGAACTCCTGCCATTGGACTTCCCATCTCTGAAGCTGCCCCTCATCTTGTTCCTGTTTCACATCTTCTCCTGGACTCCTTTGCAGGAATCCCCCGATAGTCCCAGCTTGGAGGACATGAGGGGCTTTCCTTGACTCCTCTTCACTCAACTGGGGACCTGTTGAGCTTTCCTCCTCCATTTTAATATCAGTCTGCGGCCCTTGCTCTAGCTGAACGGGAAACTGAAGAACTCCTTCCTCTGTTGTGGTCATTTTGCCTCAGGACCAGATGAAATTTATCAGACTTCCATTCCCAAGCCTCTTTCCTGATCTTCAGATGATGAAAGCGAAGCAGTCTGGGCGGACTCTTATTACAACCTGCGATTGCCACCGTTTAAAAGGTCTGAGGTAACGTGCGGTTAGGAAGAGTCTTCTCTGCCTGAGGCCCTAAAGAATCCGAGAATAAAAGAGATGGATGAAACAAAGGCGTGCATTCAGATATAAGTGAGGTGAAATTAAACCCAAATAGCCATTTTGGGTCAGTTTGGGGCAGTGTTCCCTTTAAGCTGAGTTAGTGTGAGCTAGCTCACCATTTTTTAGCCTCCAGCTCACACGTTTTTGTCTTAGCTCAGGAAGGAGGGCTCCAGAGCACCCTAATTTATGCAGTAGCCAAATCGCTTGCTCACAACTTTAATGCCAGTAGCTCACAAAGTAGAATTTTTGCTCACAAGACTCCACGGTTTAGAGGGAACATTGGTTTGGGGATATCGGAAATGACCCCAAATGACATCACACAATGCATCGACATCTTTTCTGGGTGAAAACCTGTATGGCAGCCTGGAGTTTCTCGAAACTCTGTCGTATTACCATAGAGGTTGGTTTTTTTTGGGGGGGGGGATTCCATAGTTTCACCTGATGAGCTGACATCATGTTCAGATTTTCACTCAAAGGCAATGTTGTGATGTAATTTCCATTCTGTGCCCCACATCTAAAGCTCCCAGGGGTGCAAGGTAACAGTGTGACAAGTTCCTATGCCCCCTCTAAGCTGCGGAGTCTTGTGAGCAAAAATTCTACTTTGTGAGCGACTGGCATGAAAGTTGCGAGCGAGCGACTTGGCTGCTGCATAAATTAGTTTGCTCTGGAGCCATCCCTTCCTGAGCTCAGACAAAAATGTGTGAGCCGGAGGCTAAAAAAAAATCTGTGAGCTAGCTCACACTAACTCATCTTAGAGGGAACACTGATAACTTTATTCTTCCAAACCTAGGCCTGAAACCGGATTTAAACAGGTCTAGAGCAGATGGGTAATCCAGGAACTCCTGGAACTGCTCTTCCATTATAGCCTTCCCAGAAAAGATAAATGGGAGGCCGGCTTGTGCTTGGCCTACGATGGGTATTGCAAGGAATATACAGCTCGAGGGCATCTCCAGTTTCCAGCCTGCCACCCGGGGAGCAGCAAATCCCATGCACAGTTTCCCAGGAGTAAGCCCTTTCGAGCAGTAGAGCATCGCTGCAACAGAGCACAACCCAAAGCACTGAAGTGCATCACTTTTCCCAGTCCATGCAAACGGCCTCTTCTATTAAACTGGGGGGCGGGGGGGGGGGGGGAAGCTCACCACATACTATTCATCCCACCCTGAGGGTGGCTGCTCTGAAGATCCGCCGGAAAGGGGTCTTTCAGACTGTCTTATGGTTTACGCGCAGAGCGCCTCCCCCCCCCTTCTTTCCGGGCCTCTCTAGGGCTCAGAGTTCTATCAGAGTAACCCTTGAAAAACTGGTTCAGATTTGGGGGTGGGGGGTAGGCGTGTTGGTTTGAAGCAGCAGGACAAAGTGCGAATCTAGTGGCCCCTTTAAGACCAACAAAGTTTTATTGAAGAACGGGAAAATCTGGTCTTGGGTGCTGCAAAAGGAGCTTTGAGAGTCCTCATCTTTTTAACCCTTGGCAGGGCTCCTGTGGCTTTGTTAGCCGCAAGGCAGATAGGTGCTGCAGGGGTTAGGGTGTCAGACTAGGATTCAAGGCACGGGGTCCTATCACATGTGCAGAAATGGGCGGCTGAAGCTTTTAATGGCATGGAGGTAAATCACGTCACCTGGGAAACAACATCCCATTATAACCCTATTAAAGGGGACAGGACATTTTCCCCTCCAGGTTGCTGGCAATCCTGTCCCGGAGACTTACCTTCAGATCATCGCTTAGCCTAGAAGCTGATTGGGTGGCCTTGGGCCAGTCATACTTTCAGCTTAACTTGCCTCGCAAGGTTTATTTATATTTATTTATTTATAATTTATATTTATAGATCGTCCTTCCCTGAGCACACAGAGCTCAGGGCAGTGAAAAAACATTAAACGTACATTAAAACTATAATTCGACAATTCAATAAATAAAGAACACAATCTCTGATGGCGCTAAAACTTCAGTCCCAAGGTTATGCCACTGTCTCACAGGAGAGGTAGAGAAGGGAGCAAGATGAATTGGGGAAAGAGAGTGCCAGACAAGATTGGTGCCTGTCGCTGTTCTCAACCAAAAAGCCTGGTTGTTGTGAGGATGGAGTGGGAGGAGGGGAATCACAATATGGTGCCCTTAGAGAAAGGGGCAGATTAAAATCTAATAGATAAACAGTCAGGTGACCAGCAGATATTCAGCCGCTTGTACAGAATCATAGAGTTGGAAGGGGCCATCCAGGCCATCTAGTCCAACCCCCTGCTCAGTGCAGGATCAGCCTAGAACAGTGGTGGTGAACCTATGGCATGGGTGCCAGAGGTGGCACTCAGAGCCCTCTCTGCGGGCACGCGTGCCATCGCCCCAGCCAGGCCCAGACACCGACCTTCCACAGCCTGCAGTTCAGCATCTTAACCACTTGAGCCACCGCAGCTCCCCTGTTCGGGAGACTTACCTTCAAATCATCACTCAGCCATGAAGCTGACTGGGTGACCTTGGGCCAGTTATTCTTTCAGCTTAACCTGCCTCACAAAGTTTATTTATATTTATTTATTTATAATTTATAATTTAAATTTATAGATCGTCCTTCCCACACAGAGCTCAGGGCAGTGAAAAAACATTAAAACTAATTCGACAATTCAATAAATAATGAAAACAATCTCTGATGGCGCTAAAACTTCAGTCCCAAAGTTATGCCACTGTCTCACTGGAGAGGTAGAGAGGAAGCAAGATGAATTGGGGAAAGAGAGTGTTGTGTACGCGGACCGCCACTAGGGGTCCGCGGCAAGAGAGGAGGGCGGCTTCCCTGGACAATGGGAACATAGGATCCTAGTTCCCCCCAGCTCCAACCAATGGCCACTTTGGCTGGAGATTCAAACCCTCCAATGGACTAGGGCTGTGCTGGATGGGTGTGTATATAGTTGGCCTTGTAGGGCCGTCTTAGTCAGTCTTGTGTTGGTTATGCCACTGTCTCACAGGAGAGGTAGAGAAGGGAGCAAGATGAATTGGGGAAAGAGAGTGCCAGACAAGATTGGTGCCTGTCGCTGTTCTCAACCAAAAGAGGATGGAGTGGGAGGAGGGGAATCACAATATGGTGCCCTTAGAGAAAGGGGCAGATTAAAATCTAATAGATAAACAGTCAGGTGACCAGCAGATATTCAGCCGCTTGTACAGAATCATAGAGTTGGAAGGGGCCATCCAGTCCAACCCCCTGCTCAGTGCAGGATCAGAGTTGTTTTTTCTAAAGTAAAACCTCAGTATTCAGGTTAAACTGCCGTGTTGGCACTTTGCGATAAATAAGTGGGTTTTGGGTCGCAGTTTGGGCACTCGGTCTCTAAAAGGTTCGCCATCACTGGCCAAAACATCCCTGACAAGTGATTGAGGGGGGACATGATTGCTCTATTGAAGTATTTGAACGGCTGTCACTTAGAGGAGGGCAGGGAGCTGTTCCTGTTGGCAGCAGAGGATAAGACTCACTATAATGGGTTTCAATTAAGGGCGGGAAGGTTCTGGCGACAGTGGGATCAGCTGCCTAGGGAGGTGGTGAGCTCCCCCTCACTGGCAGTCTTTAAGCAACGACTGGACAAACATTTGTCAGGGATGCTCAGTCTAGGCTAATCCTGCAGTGAGCAGGGGGTTGTACTAGATGGCCTGTATAGGCCCCTTCTGTAGTGTATTCAATAGCTGACATTGAATGCCTATGTATTGTGAACCAGCTCATTGCCATCTCCTGTTAAGCTTCAGCCTGGGCTAGGATCCTAATGTAACCAATAGGAGCACTAGCCCAGGATGTGTCATCCAATCACCTTGCAGAGCGGGATCGCTTGTGATTGGCCTTTATCTGTTCAACCTGATAGGTTGTTATTTGTACAGTGGGTGTGGCTATATTAGCCGAGAATGTTTAAATACAGAGCAGCCAGTGTATGAACTTTGATGGGTTCTGGCTGGTGATTGTTGTACCATGTTGGAGAAGTAAGGAAGCTGAAGAATAAAAGCCTCATTCTTGCTGAATCACTCTCCGACTCTTTGTTAAGTTCACGACTTAACACCTTCCAACTCTGTGATTCTATGATTCTAACACTGAGATATTGCCCCTCCCTAAATAGGGATGCCAGCCTCCAGGTGAGACCTGGGGGTCCCCCAGAATTACAGCTCATCTCATCTCCAGACTATGGAGATCAGTTCCCCTGGAGAAAATGGCTGCTTTGGAGGGTGGACTCTCTGTGGCTTTGTACCCCACTGAGGTCCCTGTCCTCCCCAGACTCCCTCTCGAAATCTCCAGGAGTTTCCCAACCTGGATCTGGCAACCCTACCCCCCCCATCCCCAGCTGGTGGTCAGGGGGGACCTGGCAACCCTGTACCCCAAATGGTCTTAAGTCTGATGTCCTGTTGAGTCGCACTTCTGAGCATGTGCAAAGTGCATTGCACTTGGGGTTGCCAATTCCAGGTTGGGAAATGCCTGCAAATTGGCGGTGGGGGTAGAGCCTGGCGAGGGCAGGGTTTGGAGGGGAGGGAGCTCAGTGGGGTATAATGCCAGAGGGTTCACCTTCCAAAGCAGCCACTTTCTCTAGAGGAACTGGTGGTCTCTGTCACCTAGAGATCACTTGCCCTTCCAGAAGATCTCCAGGTCCCAACTGGAGGTTGGCCACCCTAAATAGCACTCCCCACCCTAAATAGCAGCCATATTTGGGGTTTAGCGGGGGGGGGCGCGAAGCAAGGTAGGGGGAGAAAGCCAAGGAGGCTTCTTCAGAGTCTCTGGAATGCTCGGGATCGAAGGGTTAAACAAACCGAGAAAAGTTTCCTAGAGAGGCCCAGAATAACTGGGAAAGTGGTGTGTGTGTGTGTGTGCAATAGAAAGGACCATGTTGAGTGAAGGGGGTTGCATTAACGGAGGAAGAAGCTGCTGATTTGAAAGGAGTTGAGGTGAAAAGGTGAGCTTCATCAGCTGCCGGGGATCTGTGGCTGCGAGAGAGGAAATAAAATGTCGCGATTAGACTGAA